ATATATATATATATATATATATATATATATATATATATATATATATCTACACATACATATATGGCCAAGCCTCGCCTCTAGTGTCGGGCATCAATCACCATGCTGTCCTTGAGGAGTCTTGTGGCCCAACTACAAGGGAACGCTGTCACCCTGACATCCCCCTCCAAAGTGTGCCACCTCCGATGAGCCCCCCTGTCGTACCCAGCCTGTGGACAGCCAGCCCCCCTCTGCCACCCTCCCGTCCCTACCCCCCCTCGAACACGGGGGTGCTGTACTGGCAGCTGTATGGTTCTCTGACCACTATTAGTCTTGCTGTCTCTTGGCTGAGAATAAAACCCATTTCTGGATGATGGGGAACAGCGTGTCCTCTGTGGCCTGTGTTCTCTGTGGCGCTCAGGGAGAGGTAAAGGTTTAAACATTGGGGTGAGGGATGGGGAAGGGCCCAGCTATTGCTAGGGTGCTGTAAGATGTGGAGAAAAAAGCCCCATCGTCTCCGAGGCCTACTGGGAAAGCACCTGGAGTCAGCTGATCCTCGTCCTGTGAAACCGGCTGTGGCCACTAGGGGGCCCGGAGGGAGGACTGTGGGGTGCTGGCCAGGCAGGCACTGTGGAAGGACAGGCAGAACAGGCCACCAGAGGGGCAGGGCGATGAAATGGAAAACACCTGGACCGGAAGTCAGCACCCAGGGTGCTGTGGCACCCTGCTTTCCCTCCCTGGGATTAGATCTGACTTCTGAGTCTCCGCCGTTAAGGCAGCAACTGCCCCGAGAGCCCCACGGCGGTCCCCCGGGAACCCCCCGTCTTCACCAGGCAGCATGCAGGTGACAGGCCTTGGAAGATCTCTAACAGCCCGGCTGGATGTGCTCAGACACACTGGGGACCAGCACAACCAGAAGCTTGCCCTCTGCTGGCAGGACCCGCTCCCTGTTCAGTGCTCACGGCACAGGACCCAGTGACGGAAGAAAAAGGAACACGCAAGGACAAGCAGTATGGCTAAATTCATTTATTCTGAAATAAAAAGTGAAACAGGAGTCGAATCACCCGGGCACAAACCCGTCCCCGCCTCCACCTTCTCTCTCCGTCCTACACTATCAATAAATAATTTTCCCCAGCCCCAAATATTCAATAGAAGGTCCTCCCCATTTACCAGCACCAACCTCCAATGTGATACAGGGGGCTTCCCTACCTCCAGAATATACAAAATGTTACACAGTTACAGTATAAACACTGGGGAGGGAGCCCACCCCGCCACCAGCTTATGTCCTTGCCTGGCCTCGGTTTGCCCAACCTGCCCAAGGCCTGTGAGAGTGCTGCCCAGTTGTCTGGCTGGGCAAGGGGGAGGGGGGGCACTTGTGCCCCAAAGTGCCTCTGAACAGAGGATGCATGAGCCCCTCTGAATGGAGGACTGCTTGGTGGGGGTGAGGAGACCAGCAGGGAGTCCCTGCTCCCCAAGAACGGCAGCCTCTTAAATAAACTACCTTTACTGAGCCTCTGGCTCTTTGTTTTTCTGGAACTATTAATAGCCCAGAGATCAAGACACAGCCCTGGCCAAGATGGCAAGGGGTCTGCACCTATTTGTCTCCCCCCATTAGACAGGGGGCTATACCCCTTTTCAGGGGTTTTTTTAGGGATGAAGGGGTGCCAGGAAGGAGGGACAGGGTGGCAGGTATGGGCAGGGGCAGAGCGCCCCGGCCCCAGGTCTCTGGTCTTTGCCCGCTAGTGTCAGGCAGTTAGACCACCAAGATCTTCACTTCATCGTTGTCGTCAGTCTCGTAGAAGAAGGGGATGCAGGTGTTGCTGCCCAAGACTGGGCGCTCCTGGGGATTCTGGATCTCGCGCAGCAGTTGCATGATCTGCTGCGCAGTGGGGTTCTCAGGGGTCGTCTGGCCCCGCAGGGCTCCCCCCTGGGTGGGGTCCACGTTGTCCTTGAGGCTCACCTCACGGAGACCTTTGTAGAGAGAGAGAGAGAGGCAGGGCTCGGAGTGGGGTGCCAGCTCTCCCCTGCCCACCCGCCGGTCCTCCCCGAGGGCGCTACTCACCACTCTCGTCGGCAGCACCAGGCTCCTGCGGGGCTGGGGACGCTGTAGTGGGCTCACCAGCAGGGTTCTGGGCAGCCAGGAACTTGCCATACCATTCATTTCGCTCGCCCACCAGGCGTAATACCAGTTCCCGGAGCTCCAGCAGCTTCACCTGGAGGGAGAGGCGCTCAGCACCCGCACCCCACCCCACCCCCGCCCGCAGAGACGGTCACAAGGACGCCTACCTTCATTTCCTCCTTGTCCTGAGCCAGGCGGCTGATGTACTCCTCCTTCTCCTGGTGCCGCGCCTTCAGCACCGCCCTCTGACTCTGATAAAGGGCGATGTACTCTCCTGCGGGGAGCGGGGAGCGGGGAGGGCGAACAGGGCTCAGGTGCAGGGCTGCCCCGATCCAGCCCTCGGCACCCTGCCCCGGGCGCCCGCCTCCCCACTCACCAATAGTGTCTGTCTCTCCGGACAGCTGGATACAGCGGTGCTCCAGCTCCTCTACCCGCTCCTTCAGATCCACTTTCTCCTGCATGAGCGCTGTAAAACGGCCCTGAAGCCAGAACAGCAGCGTCAGGGCTCGGCAGCGATCTGACCGCAGGCCCCCACCCTTCCTGGACCCCACTGGGGGCGACCCACTCACCTGCAGCTTGTCCATGGCCACCTGGAGGGCCTGGTGGGTCTCTGCAGGCACACTGTCCCCCCCGATCCCGGAGGCTGGGGCTTCCTTCTCCGCCCCGTCCTGGGCCGGGGCTGCCAGGTGAGCCAGGCGCTGGCAGCGCAGCTTTTCCTCCTTCAGCTGCCCGCGCAGCCGGGCCTGCTCTTCCTCAGCACTGGCTAAGGCCGAGTTAAAAAATGCCACCTGCGGGCAAGAGGTGTGCGCATGCTTTTGTGGGGGATACTGAGGACCAGCGAGGGGCGGCGGGCAGAGGGATGCTCCCCCTCTCGGGGTCTTTGTGGGCATGCCTGTGGTTCAAGGATGACATGGCATCTGACTATGGCTCCCAGGGGAGCTTGGGCAGGGTCCAGAGAAGTCAGAGGGAGGAAAACCACAAAGAGTGTCAGAGAGGAAGCACAGGAGGAGGTAGGAAGTAAGACAGGCAAGGAGCGGCAGGTCAGCTCACCAGCAGCTCTCGGCTGTCGAGCTCCTCCGGCACGCTCAGCTTCAGCCGGGGGACCTCCTCATCCTCCTCACCGTCCGGTCCACCTCCTGCTGGGGACGCATGGAGGGGCCTCAGACAACCCAACAAGGCAGGGCAAGCAGGCCGGGAAGAGAGCATGCGGCCCAGCTCTGCCCCTCACCTCACTCACTGCAGGAAGAGGATTCGCTGTCCTAAAGGTCTCTTCTAACTCAATTCCACGCTGCTACAAGTCCCCCTGCTCCTCAGGCTGGGTGTTTTCCCTGCGGGCCGTCCTACTTACCTTCCCCAGGCACAGCCATGAGGTTCAGCTGGGCTTGTAGCTGCCGGTTCTGCTGGTTGGCTGTTTCCAGGCGCTCCTAAGAGGCCAGGAAAGAAAGTGAGGAGGGACACAGGTTGCAGACTTTCCCGTCAGGGGCCCAGCACTCCGACGCCCTCACCTGGGTCTCCTGTAACTCCTGGCGGGCCATCTGGATGGCCACCTTGCCCTGGACTTCCTCGTGCTGCAGCTGGTCCACGAGCTGCGTCTGCACCAGCGCCTGCTTGTGCAGCCCCGCCTTCTCAGAGGCCAGCTGCTGATAGGCAGCCACGTACCGCTGCAGGTGGCTCAGGTACTGGTCCCGCTGCTGCTGCAGATCCTGAGCCTCCTGGCTCTTCACCTCCACCTGCAGGAAGACCCTGGGGGTGAGGACAGGCTGTGGCTCGCTTCCGCAGACGGAGCCCATAGACTGGGGAGGTTGGGCACAGACCTCTCTGCCTGAGGCAGGCACCACGAGGCTCTGCTGGCTGCCCAGAGCCCCATGCCGCCTTCACCCAGCCCTCATAGCAAGCTTCTTTCTATCTTAACTTGAGGCCGCAGATGGGTGGAAAAGCAGAGCTCCAGCCAACATCTGTGAGGTGCACACTGAACGCCTAAGGCTTTACAAGCATGATTCTCTAATCTCCAACACCTCTAGGAGGAAAATGATAACCTCCTTTTTGTTTTTCTTTTCTATTTTTTGGTAGCTCCACACCATCATGCAGGATCTTAGTTCCCCGACCAGGGATCGAACCCGCACCACCTGCAGTGGAGTCTCAACCACTGGACCGCCAGGGAAGTCCCGCTAACCTCCTTTTAAGATAAGGAAACTGAGGCTTAGAGATGCCAGGGCTGAATCCAGGGCTGAACCCAAGGAGCTGGCCACCGTACACCCTCTCTTCCCCTCTAATTAGGGGCTTGATGCCTCTAGCGGGGACAACGACCTATGGCCCAGGGCTACTCAACTCTGAAAGTCAGAGGCCAGCGGGCAACAAGCAGTCACAGGCTCTGAAGGACTCTGGGGTCACCTGTCCTGGCCCCAGGTCCCTGGCTCCCCAGAGGCTGGTGCCTATCTCTCCTGACCCTCCCGCTGGGGCAGGGCTTACCGTCTCCTTCAGCTCTCCTAGCCTCCCCTGCAGCTGGTCCAGCTCCTTGGCCAGCTCCTTCTTGATGTGCTGCTCCGAATGCAGTGCGCTGGTTATCTCCATGTTCTCGTTGGACTGCACAGAGAGAAGCAATCAGCGGCCACCCAATGCAACTGGAGACCCCAGAACTTGGTGTCTGCCTCCCACAGCTCAGGGAAGGGTGGAGGCAGGTAGGAAAGTCTGCCCCTTCCCCCCACAACCCTCCGAGCAGGGCTCTCCGACTCACAGCGGAGTGGGCACCATTTCACAAAAGGTCCACATCACCCATTTTACAGGTGGGAAAACCAAGGCCCCAGATGGGTTAAGTGCCTTGCCCCGCCCCAGAGGACTTGGCCAGGGAGGAGGGCAGGCTGGCTGCGAAGGGCTGCGCACCAGCCTGACGAATCCATTCTGCAGTTCAGCCAGCTGCTCCTTGAGCTCGCGGTTCTGGAACAGCGCGCGGCTGATGGTGGTGCGGTCGCTCTGCATGCTCTCTAGAATCTGCCTGCGCTCCTCGGCCTGCTGCCCCCAGCACTCGGCCGCCCGCTCCAGCTCCAGCAGCCGCTGCTCCTGTTCCTGATTCAGGCGACTCAGACTTTCGTTGTCCTTCACCTGGGCCTGCAGCTGCCGTGCTAGGCTCTGCAGTTCCTTCTGTAGCTGTTCGGCCTCCGCCTGCAGCCGTTGTTCTACCTCCGAGGGCCCGGCTGGGGGCTCCTGAGGCGCAGGCACAGCTGAGAAAGGGAGCACACCGTCAGGGCCTCTCGCCTCTGCAGTCTCCAAAAACCTGTTTTGTTTTGTTTTGTTTTTTGGCCGCACCAGTGCGACATGAGGGATCTTATTTCCCCAACCAGGGATCGAACCCGCGCCCCCAGGCAGCGGAAGCACAGAGCCTCAAACACTGGATCGCTGGCGAAGTCCCTCCAAAACACCCTCTTCTCGGTCCACAGCTCCTGATTCAGCCTCCTTGCCCCAGATCTTGGCTTCCTGGCTCAATCTTTCAAGACATGTTCAGACAGAGTTCCTTACATCTTTATGCTCAAGACCACAGTGGGCACTTCACCCCTTTTTTGCAGATGGGGACCCTGAGGCGCAGGGAAACTGCAAGACTTGCCAACCCCTGGGACAGACCTCTTTCCCTTGGCCACGGTGCCCTTCCACCCACTCACCTCCATTCTCAGCTGCCCTCACCAGCGCCAACACAACCCTGCTCCCAGATCCCCTGGCCCTGGCTTACCGATCTCGGTCCTCAGTTTGGCCAAACTGGTCTCCAGCTCCTGCACCTGACTCATGCTGCACTCCTTTTCTTCCCTCAACTTGCCCATCTGCCCAAAGCATGGGTGGGGGGGTGGGGGCAGAGCACAGGAGGGGGTCAAGGCCGGGCGACCACCTCCCTCTCCACCCCCACCCTCTAGATACACACTTCCACCTCTGGCTGCACACAGCAAGTGTCATGATTCCTATTTCACAGATGCCCAGGCGACCTGTCTAAGGAGGGGGGTGGAAGGTCGCCTCTCACCTGCTCCAGCATCTGCTGCATCTTCTGCTGCCAAACGGCGTTCTCTTCTTTCATATTCACCACATACTGGTCTCTCTCTGCCTGCAGCTGCTTCAGAGAATCCTTCAGCTGCGAGAGTGGGCACAGAAGTTACCACGGGCTGTCATGGGGCCTCGCCTGCTCCCGGTCACCTGGGGTCATCGTCCTCCCGCACCCCTCTCCCTGCACAATCTCACCTGCTCCACGTGGGTCTCCAGCTGTGCCTGCTCGTTCAGGGCCTGCTGTAACTGCTGGCTGCTGTCAGCGGTACGTTGACTAGAAAACTGGATGGTGAAAAATGAGGTTGGATCTGGGAAGCCCAGGCTGCTCCACGCAATGCCCCCCAAAAGGTCAACGTACGACTCAGGTTGTCCTCGTGTTATTAGAACCAGGTCCACAGGCTTTATATTTACTAAATACTCATGGCTCCCCAACCACCCCAATCCAGTGTGTATCCTTCTGGACCCTTTTCCATACATACGCAAACACGTTTAATTAATGCACAGTGCAGTTGTGCTGTCACGGGGTAGTATCATATATGGTTCTGCAACTGAATTTCACTTTGCTGCAAACGCGATATACGTAATTTTTGTGATGGCTACATAGTAGTCCAATATATGAACATGGCATACTTTAACCGTGCCCTTGCTGAGGGCAGGAAGGCAGAGAATCACTGTGCATGCAGGAAAACTAAAGAGGAGGCTCTCTGAGACCTGAGCGCCTTGTCTACCTGGAGGCTTGGCCCCGAGAGGAGGGGAGCGGACTCACGGGCTAGCCTTGTAACTGTCATCCATAGAACAATGGTTTTCAACAAGGATGCTTTAAAAATAAAAGCTAAAAAAGGCCTATCCCTGAGCTTCTGATTCCAGAGGTCTGGGCAAGGCCCCAATTTCTCTCCCATCTCTAGAGGAGTCTATGGCAGGACCAGAACAAGGATCCAGATTTTCTGGCTCCTGGCCGGAGGCCACCCACAATGACCCTAAGAGGCCCTGGCCCCGGCAGGTAGGGCGCGCACTCCCTGGGGCTCCAGCCCCACCTGCCGCAGCAGCAGCTCGGACATCTCCACCTTCTTCTGCCGCTCCTCCGTCCCCAGCTGCATGGCCGCCTTCTCCTTCGCCATGACCCGCAGCTTCTCCGCCAGCTCCGAGGTCTGCTGCTTCAGGTCCTCGTTGCTTTTGCTGTGACCGGCGGTAGTGGAGGGAGGCGTGAGTAAAGAACAGAAAGGGTCGCTCCGGTGACCCCCCCCCTGCCGCAGCAGCAGCTCGGACATCTCCACCTTCTTCTGCAGCTCCTCCGTCCCCAGCTGCATGGCCGCCTTCTCCTTCGCCATGACCCGCAGCTTCTCCGCCAGCTCCGAGGTCTGCTGCTTCAGGTCCTCGTTGCTTTTGCTGTGACCGGCGGTAGTGGAGGGAGGCGTGAGTAAAGAACAGAAAGGGTCGCTCCGGTGACCAACCCACTACCTTTGCCACAGAACCACAGAACAGTCGCTTTGGAAGGGACCCCAGGATCAAGAGTCACAAGTGGCAGGCCACAGAGAGGACATGGGTTGCCTGAGGCCACAGCAGGAGTCGGTGGCACAGCTGGGACAGCAGAGCCTGGCTCTGCACGCATGCAAAGCTGTACCAGCTCCTCACCCGCTCCCTCGGCTCCTCCCCACTTCCCAGCCCTCCCCCACTATCCCTATCCTACTTGTTCTTGTATAAGTCCAGCCTGAGGGCATCTCGCTCTTTGGTTAATTCTTTGTTGTACTGCAAACACAGAGAGGCGAGGTCAGGAGAAGGGAGGTGGAAGATGCAAACTAACAGCAGCAACAGGAACGACTCCCAGACTCCCAGCAACACGTCCTCACCTGGTGTCAGGCTTTATATTTTTTCAGAGCACTTCCAAGCTCATGTTCTCATTTGGTTTTAATAAGAACTCGGGAAGGGTGGAAAAGGCAGGCGGAGAGCTCTAACTCACGGCTGGCTCACAGGCCCGGAGACAGCAGATAACACTGCCATCATTCTCACCGTTATCAGCCCCACGTCTGAACCTTTCCTGAACACTCTCTCAGCCAACATTCCCATTTCAAACTCACAATCACCCTGGGAGGCAGTTACTATTACTATCTCCATTTTACGAGTGAACAACACGGAGCATTAGAGGTTAAGTGGCTCGCCTAACATCACTTAGAGCTGGGACTCTTGAACCATGTTCTCTCCCCGGGGTGGGAGCACAGATATGATGGGGGGATTAAATTGTATTGTAATCTCTTGTTCATTTTTTGAATGGATGATACCCTCACACATCCCCTAACTCAGAAGGTACCAAAGTGCCGCGTCCCTCAGCCATCCTGTCCCTCTCCCCGGGCTTTGGTGAGTCCTTTCCGACCTGTGTCTTACACATATTTCACACGCGAACTTCTCTCTCTCTTAGCGCGGTAACGGAGAAAAATACTGTTCTGAACCTTCACAGCCCTAACACCTAGCACTTGGGCCAGAGCCCGCAGCCAGTAAAGGGCAAGGCTGGCGCTCTGGCTCTGGGCTCTGCATCCAGCGCTCGCTCTAGACAGCACTCCCCCCTCCCCCACCAACTCGCCAAAGCCACCAACTCGCACCGGGTTGCTTCTCACAATCACACGCGGCCAGTGCTGCCTTCTGGGCAGCAAGTCACTCCATCCTGCCGAAGGGACCTTTAGGCTCACCCCACCAACATGCCACCTCCAGCGGATGGGCAGACCGCTGGGCTCACCCTATCGGCCTGCTTCTGCTGCGTGGAGACGGCAGACAGCGTCCGTTCCAGCTCTCCCACACGCTGCCTGGACGACCGCAGGCAATTAGCAAGGTCCTCCAACTCTTCTGAAATGACAGCATGAGAAGGGAAGCCCAAAGAAGGATTCCCGCTGAAGGCCAGCCAGTGCCCCTTCTGGCCGAGGGGCAAAAGGGTGCCTAGATTCCCACCTGCTTTCTGCCTGGCTGCCTGTTGGGTGTGAGCCAGGGCTGTCTGTAATTCCGTCTTCTCAGACACCAGAATCCCTATGGTCTGGATGTGGACCTTTGGGAGAAAGGGCAAACAAGTGCTAAAGGCAGAAAAGCAATGTTTCCTGGGGGCCACGAGGGACCCTGGCTCAGCCCACTCACCTGCAGCTGCTCTCTCAGAGCCCCTTGTTCCTTCACAAGCTTCTTCTCAAATTCCTTCTTCTCCTGCAGGAAAAGAGAAGAAACAGCTCTTACTGGTAGGCAGAGGTGAAACAGCAAAGGACATAGCCCGCAGAATGTCATCACTGGCCCAGGACAGGCCCACCGATGAGAACAGAAAATTGGCCACCCCGGGAGCAGGGGATGGGCGGGGAGGGGCAGGGGGGTAGGCCCCCTCTTTCTCCAGGCTGCCAGCAGGCAAGAGGAGAATGGGCCTCTACATCTGAATCCTCCCCCAAACCCATCAGCCACGGGAGGAGCAGACAAAGAAATCGCATTACTTTTTCCAGTCGATCCAAAGTTTCCTGTTTCTCTTGTTTCTGTGGGGAGAGTCATAGGTAGGTGACTGAGATTGTCCCCCTTTCCCACGATCCTCAGACCAAGGAGGAGGGACGGGCAGGGGCCAGGAATGGGTTAGAAAGGGAGAGTTCATGGGAACATAAATGGATGAACGCTTCTCAAGCTAATAAGAGACTTTGGGGCTTGGGAAGGTTTGCTCACGGCTATAGTAGTGAGAGTCTGGATCTGATTCCCTTGAAGGGACAATGACATAAACCTCTAGAAATGGAGTCTGAGAAGGTCAGACCACCCTCTGCCAGCTCACGATCTGGAAGGGGGCATTCATTCACTCAAGGAATGTTTCCTGAGCACACACTGCAGGCCAGGTTCTGTTCTTAAGAGCAATGATATGAGAACGAAAAGGACCTTTAAATCTTTGATTTTTTGAGCTTAAAGGGACCTTGGACACCCTCTAATTCTACCTCCTCAGGAAACTAAAGCCCAGAGAGGACAGTTGACTTGTCCAAGGTCAAAGTCGGAACACATCAGGGGCTGAGTCAGGGCTGGGACACACCAGTCAAGCTAGTGCTCCCGCTACAGGCAACAGCCCCAGGGCAAGCGGAGGGAGGACTCAAGCAGGGGTCTCTGGAGAACAGAGTAGGCAAAGAGGGCAGCCACAGAGAGAGCCATGCTGCGTGCCGTGCTCCAGGGTCCCTCCAGCTGAGACCTAGGCCCCCCGGCACCCCATTCTCCCTTGGCACCGGGGTCCCCAGCCCCTTTCTTCAGAGCCCCAAGGTGAGATTGGGGCCCCAGATTGGCAGCGTGGAATCCGGGGACAACACTGGACTCTTACCAATTGCTCTATCTTGCTACTGAGTTGTTTGTTTGTTAGATTGCTGGAGTCCATGGCTACTGATAGTTCTTGGTACCGGCTCTGAGGCGCATGCAGAAAGGAAGAGGAGGACTTGGAGGAGGGGCAGTGGAGGCAGACAGAGCGATCATTAGGGTTGGGGGGTGTCTGGGCTGTGTCAGCTGGTAGTGGGGCACCCAGCCCCCACTGTGGGAGAAGGGAGGTGGGGGCAGGTGGGGGCTGGCCTGCAGGGTCACTGGGCCACGGTGCAGGCCCCCTTACCTCCAGATTCTTTATGTCAGTACAGGATGCTAGACCCTCCCCGTTGATATAAGATGGAGACTAGGAGAGATGAAAGGGTTCACATGGAAACGTGATCTATCCCCCCTCAAGGCCTAAGCCCTCCAACATCTTCCCCATCAACTGGCAACATTTCCTTTTCTGCCTAACTTGCCACTCCCGCTTAACCCCTCCCTGTGCCAATTTCTCCTCGTTCTTAATTCCCCCTTGTCCCCCCGTCCCAAGCAGCTCTCATCTGCAGGATAAAATGATGTAACCAATCTCATGGTCCAACCCCTTCATTTGGACAGCGTCAAAGAGGAGACTCAGGGCTTCCCTGGTGGCAAAATGGTTAAGAATCCGCCTGCTAATGCAGGGGACACGGGTTCGAGCCCTGGTCTGGGAGGACCCAGCTAAGCTTAGCTTAGCGGAGCAGCTAAGCCCGTGCACCACAACTACTGAGCCTGCGCTCTGGAGCCCGCGAGCCACAACTACTCTGGCCCACATGCCTAGTGCCCGTGCTCTGCAACAAGAATACAGCGCAATGAGAAGCCTGCGCACCACAACGAAGAGTGGCCCCCGCTCACCACAACTAGAGAAAGCCTGTGTGCAGCAACAAAGACCCAATGCAGCCACAGACAAACAAACAAATAAATAAATAAATAAATTTATTAAAAAAAAAAAAAAAAAAAGAGGAGACTCAGAGAAGTAATGACTAGCTAAACATTATCCAGCCAAGCTGCCTGGTCCCAGGACCTTCCCTTCCTCTTGGGAACCTCTGCCTCGGTTTCTTTCCATCATATTTTCCTTCCCTCTCTAGCCCACTCCGGGCTCCAATTTTGGGGGTGGTACCTCGGACACAAGACCGTTGAGCTGCTGAGATAGCTTTCGCAGGCTCTCGGTGGATGAGAAAGATCTGGGGATGAACACAGCAGTCAGGGGTGCAGGAGGCTCGATGGGAAAGAGGGGGGGTCAAGGGCAGTGGCCTAGGGACTGCTGGCCCCGCGGGAGACACTCACGTGCTTTCGTCAACGGGACTAGGATCATTGTCAGCATCACGGTTCTGTTTGGAAAGAAACGTACGAATCGGTCATTCAGTTTCCAGTAAGAACCACCCACGGCGCCAAGATTCCAACCCCTTTCCGTCCACCCGCACCTCAAGGAGAACCTGCTCTTGGCCTCCCCCACCCCAGTTCTCAGGAAGGGCGCCTCGCTCTAGGAGCCAAGCTACCTGAAGAAAGGGGAAGAGGCTCCACGGTAGGTCCAGTCCTCCAGGAAAGAGGAGGGGGTGAGCACAGAGTGGGGCAGCAGGCCAAGGGGGAAGAGGCACTAACCTGAGTTGATGCCATGCTAGTGACACGGGGGGGACTAGCACAGGGGGAAGGGACACCGCCAGGTGACACGGTGTCATCAGCAGACGGTGTACCAGGAGCGGCGCGGTCTTTGGGCGCCTGTCACAGAACAGAGCAGGGGGTTAGGGGGCCACGCAGGGCAAAAGTCGCCTCACTGCCATGAATGGAGGGGTGCAGAGCGGGTAGGACAGGTGTTGCTGCAGTCAGAGTGACAGTCACACATGCTGGGAGCCACTCTGGGGGGTGGCTACGGCTCGCCCAGACCTCGGGCCAGTCTGCAGCCTTCCGGGACTGCATAGCCTCCTTCGAGAACACGAGGGCCTTGTTCTCCCTGGAGCTCAGCTCCCTGGCTGACCTACGGCAGCTACAGCAGGTGGAAGGAAGGTGTGCCAAGTCAGGGAGAAGCAAGGCCCTGCTCTTCCAGAAAGCCAGTCTGTGACCAGAGAGCCCCTCACCCGGGGCCCCACGCTGGGCAGAGGGTGGCAGTGATGAAGGAGCAGAGCGATCTGCCTCTTTCTTCTTGTTCTCCCTTCCTTCCTTCCCTCCTTCCTGCAACTACTGGTGTGTCTCCATGACTCAGGCCTTTTCTGGGAAAGAAGCTGCACAACGAGAAGGCTCTCCCTGCTCTTAGAGGTAAAAAGAAAACCATGGCCACTACCCATCCCAACCTCCTGGCTCCAAAACACCTACCCAAGCAAGAAACAGCTGAGAAACCAGAGGTAAGATGTCTACCCTTTGACTCTTGTCATCCTGGAGAACAATCGTGGGATTGAGGGCCAGGAGCCATGGAGGAGTTCTCTCTTGGCCCAAACGGATCCACTTGCTTGACCAGAGCCCCACTTGGCCTCTCTCCAGGCTCAGGCCTGACACTTAGTCCAAGCCTCTGGCTCGAGGGATCTAATGTTCAATAGGTGAGATGGGGAAGAGGGCTGATAAGCCAAAGCTTGACGAGGGAAGAGCGCCGGGGAGCCGAGGCCTGGCCAACGAAGCTGAGTCTGGAAGGAAGAGGCTGCACCTCTCCTGGGAGAAAGGGCTGCCTGCTCTCTGGAGCCTCAGCCCTGGCCTCTGAAAACCCAAATCTACTGCCCTCCTTAGAGCAAGCAGCACAGAGCCTGGGGAGCTGAAGATGAATCAAGCTGTTTGCTTGGTGACTGTCCACACTGTGACCTTTGACGCCAGAACCTGGTGTTGCCTTGTCAACCTGGACTACTGAATATAATAGGTAAGAGCAGGGGTTCAGGCATGAGACTTTGGGGAAGGGGAGCACACTCAGCCACAGGCCCTGGCGAGCCCTGGGTCCCTCCTGGCCTCTTGGGTGCCCACAGATCCCTAGTATTAGAAACAAGAAAGCTCAGAAGGAGAAAAAAGTCTTTTTCTGAGAACTTAAATATACTTAATATGACTATTTTGTGAGCAACCAAGTTATTTCATAATTTTGAGTCATATAGCTAAGTATGGAATTTTAAAAACATTGTCCACTCCCCTCCAATGTCCCATTCCATTAAAAAAAGCCCTTTTTTTTCTATCCACTAGTCCTCAGTTCTGCAAATGTCATCAGCTCTGCCCAGGATACTGCAATCACAGGCCTGCACTACTAGAGCAAAAAACTTAAGTGAGAAACAATTATTGATATAGAGAGGATTTTAAAACGACAAGAAGGGAATATGGGGATCTGGGTCTTCATTTCCAGGAGAGCAGAAGGATGCGGGCCCAGGGCCTTAGAACAAAAGTACAGATGCACAGCTTCAGGACTCCTGAAGTCCTGCGCTCCCCTCCCCGTGCCACCCAGCATCTCCTCTGAGCCAACAAGGTGAGTCACAGCACCTGGACAGACCCGACCGACTGGGCATGAGCAGTCCTGATGATTGACTCTCTAACCCCAGCCAACAGTTCCCCATCCCAGCCCCTCTCCCCGTGCCCATCTCCAGCAGGACCTGGCCCCCTTCCAGCCCTACTCCTCTAGCCTGGCAGATGTCCCCCAAGGAAGTTAATTAAGGAGGAAGTGACAACATCATGTCCGGAGGAGGTCATCTCCTAGTCCAGGGGCACCCCAGGCTCCCCGCCTTTCTGGAAAGTACTCTGCGAGCTCATAATCCTGGCTGTTACCTGTATTACACCCTCTGCCTGGGACTCCCATTTCCCCTACTCTCAATGTGGATGACTACCACCCACCTCTAATCTTCAAACAGGCCTCAAATGCCACCCCCTCCACCCTCGAGTCCATTTAGAACCAACCTCGGCCTTGTCGAGCATTTGGAATGTTGCCATATTCCAAATGTTTCTTTCATCTGCTTTCTACAGCCCCTAGCAACATGCCTCTGCTCTCAAGGGCCCACTGAATATGGTTAAATGTCCAGTTAATTTTTAAAAGAGAATAGGGGCAGAATGTCCTGACCACTCATGTGTTTGGTTAACCTCACATCCCTTACAGATAGTTCCACTGAAAAAAATAACCTCAATCCTTGTAACTATAATGCAAACTCCTTTTCTCTTAACCCTACATTCCCTACTGCCAAACCAAAATGAACTGATCAACTCAAAAAAAAATCACAAACTACTTTGTGGTCTATTGGTCTTTTGGGTTCAGATGCCCAGGGGCCAAGACTTAAAGGTTTGGTTTTATTTAACCTCTCCTAGTTTGATAGCACCACGGACATTCAAACTGGAGGCTCAAAGAGCCCAAATCCCACACACCTGCTCTGGAAGCTATTCCCAAGTTACCTTTAACCTCCAAGGAGCATCTCACCTTCTCCAAGACGATAAAAGATGGGGGGGTCGGGGGGGAACCCAATCAACCAAGCAGGTGAAAAAGCAGACATGAACAAGCCCAGGGTTAATGACAGCAACATAAAATAAGCCAGAGGCAAAGTATCCCCCAAACCAGAGAAGCCTCAGGGCATGCAGAGCTGGGAGGGATCAAGCCAGAGAGGGGGTCTCGGCACTGCCTCACCTTCCACTTGTCCAATGGGGGGATCGCTACCCCATTGGAGCGGTTAAGGTCGGACACCAGCACCTTCAGAATGTCCTGAATCTATAGGAGGCGAAAAAGGAAAAACAAGGGCAGGGAGAGAAAGAGAAAAGTGGCTTAGAGAGGCAAGAGAGTCAGGGAAGGAAGAAGAGACGGGTTCAGGGCAATGGAGTGCTGGAGAAGAGAGAAAGGGATCAAAACCACAGCCTGTGCCATTTTCCAAACAGCCGCTTGCTGCCTTGCCAGAGGCAGAAATCAAGGCAAACAGATGGAAAAGTCCCCGGAACAATGCAGTCACATAGCTCCTTAGGTGAACAGTCCAGCTCTTAATAGTTTCTTAGACCCTCAGGCCCAGACTTTTAAAAACCAGACTTCAGAACAAGGGTCCGCTTGAACACAGCGGGCTACAGCTAAAAAATAAGTCTGAAAGACAATGATCGGATCCAACAGTGTCATCTTACAGATGAGGAAACTGAGGCGCAGGGGAAGAAGTGATTTTCTTGAAGTCACCCAGCAAGCTGGTGGCAAAGATGGCCTTGAAACTCAGATGATCTCCTAATCCAAGGGACTAGGGACTCTCCTCACCACACCCTGGGGTTCTGTTGGTGCCTCTAAATGGAGAGCCTGAGAACAAGAGGCTGTTCTCACTGCCTGGCTTCCCACTGAGGATGGGGCTGAGGAAGATCACCAGAGCAGTAAGTCAAATAGCAACTACTCTTTACTGAATGTTTACTCTGCACCAGGCCCTGTATTAGGGGATTGTTATAAAAACAACAACAATCTCATTTAAACTTCATAAGTGTAAGACAGTATTACCCCAGTTTTACCAATGTGGAACCAGAGACCCAACGAGCTTAAACAATTTGCCCAAAACCATATCCCCAACAGAGGGAGAGGTAGAATTCAAACCCAAACTTCTTAGCCAATATCTAACATTTCTTCCACAATCTTAACCACTACCCTCTTCTGCTGTCCCTTGAGCACCCCATCCCCGGAAGGTGGCAAGACTCACATCCTCAGGTGAGGGACAACCACCAGAAGTGGTTGTCTCCGGGCTACTGCCATTCTTGATCTTTCTTTTTTTCTTAGCTCCTGCAGGAACACCAGGGCTGTTCTTCTGCTGATACTCCCTTAACTGCGAAAAGGAAAAGGAGTGAGGCTCATGAGACCTATAAGCCCCCTATATTCACATCCTACTTTACAGTTTACAGGAAGCAGAGGTGGAAAAGTAAACATTTAATCAGACATCAGGGTCCTTTCTTACACCTCTTTTAGAGCCGCACACCACTGCTTCTCAAACTTTTACATCAGTGTATCCTAATGGCACAAGGCAGTGAAGGCACACACCCCTAGTGAATCTGGGGACGTAACAGGAAGAGGACAACCCAAACACCATTTCAGAGAGAAGTCTATTATAATCTTACAAATCTATGCAAACGTCATCCCTAAGCACATTAATATAAAAGGCTTTTTCTCTCTCAAGAGAATCAAGCAAAACTGATGCTCCAGTCCCATGTTTATCCTGTGGCACTCAGGGCACCCCATGTTGAGATGATGATTTGGGAAAGAGTCCCAG